CAACTTAATTTATCAGTTTTAGCTATATGATGTCATTGCCAGAAATGTAGCATGCAAGTTTGGATTACATTAAGGTGATAATCTTATTTCAATTTGGTGAGAGGCCACATGTAGAGATTGTAGTATTTCTGGAACCATATTTTAAAAGAGAGACCCAAAGCCATGTCATATTTAGAACACCACAGAAGCCAAACACATTTATCTTGAAGAAGACTTGGGAGAAAAATATGTGTGAACTCTTGTGTGGAAAAGGGATTGGATTTGTTTCATGTGGTCTCAGTAATTAGAGCTGGGACATAAGAATTGAATTTATAAAGAGACATCTTCCAGTTCAGTCATTTATAATAGTAAAAGCTGTTCAAAGATGAAAGGTTTCCCAACGTCTGCAGAATCAGAATAGTGGAGCAGGTGAATCTGAGTCCTCATTTGGGGGATAATACTAATAACATGGAAGAGGGGGATCTGAGAACCTGGTAAGATACTATAAGTAAAGCACTCAAAACACTGCCAGGAAAATGGCAAATGATTATATTACTCATTCAGGTTGTTACCCTTCTTATTATGGGAAGCATTGATATAAAACCTGAATCATCACTGTGTTGAGTTAAAGCAAAGTAACTCTGGGTGGGTCTGATAAACCGGATGGTGGTTATTTCTAAATGCTAACTGGATGTAACTAATTAAAATTGGTTAAAACAGCCTCTAGAACCAGTCCCTCCTCTATGTGACTTAGAAAAATGTAACCTTTTTGTATTTAATTCTCTATGATTCCATTTCATTACTTGGAGATAATTCCAAATTTGTCTCAGGTTGTAAAGATAGAACAAAACTTTAGAACAATGCTCAATATGCTAGCTTCCCAATAAATGTGAACACTGTGATAATGCTGAAGGAGTCAATAAAGGATCCCTATAGGATTTAGGACTTGAGATATATATGTTTTGAAAATACTAAGAATTTAAGTAAATGAAAAGCAGTAGCAAGTTTATTACCATATGGAAATAGCTTAAGTAGAACATGGAAATAGAATTAAGCATTGTGTGATTAACAGACAATGAGGAAATCTCACCATTTAGGTGAAGTTGACTCTTGGTGACCAGTTGGAAATAAAAGCAGATGGAACGAGAGAGGGAAAACCTCAGAAGACCTTTAGTTTAGAATGGTAAGCAGAGTGGCATTCCACATGCTTTCAGGTAGAGGATGAAACATACATGTGATATTTTAAAATAACCTTATGAAGTTTTCAGAATAAACTGTCTTCCTTATGCTTAAAAATTATAGATGGAATAGTTGAATCTTTTATGCAAATCCTTCTTTAACCTAGAAATAGAAATTCTATTTCAGGATAATTTCTATTTCAGAAAGTCCAAACACTTTTTCCTTCATAAAGTTTTCCCTTTAGATTCTTATCTGTAGGGAAAAGTAGTTTTCTTTTTTTGTTTGAAATCTTTAGCATTCAAGATGATGTTCTTTATATTTGTATCTCCCATCCTCATCTTCTGAGAGTGAATCTGAATTTGAGATCTGTTGCCAAACCATTTGTATTAAATCTATGAGAGAGATGTTATTCAAAATGTTTAAAATGGTTTTGTTTTAAAATGAGGTCCATCAAATTAATGAAACTTACATTCTTGGGAGGCTCATAAGTCAGTTCTAGGAAGACAGGTCCCACAAAGAAGGTCCCAAAATAGGTTCTACACCACACATTTATGGATTAAGGCACAACTTTTTGAAGCAACTTCCTGAAAAAGACAATAAACTTCAGTACTTAAGTGAAAAACAACTATCATCCTTTATAGTGATTCACATAGTTTTAGTATACTAAAAACACTGTATGCTTTCATACATACAAACTCTTAGAGGAAATGATTGTGAATTTATTTATTTTTTTGGTGTAACTTACAGGGCCACTGTAGATTCTGGGTTTGTGCTGTGCTGAAGTAAATTAAAATTAGGAGGATATAGGCAACAGGAAAACTGCAAAATTATTTTTCTAATGAGGGAGTCAGTATAGGGACTCCGCCTATTTTTTTCCCAGGCTGAATCAGCATTATTTTGTTTTTGTATTGCTGTTGTTGGTGGTGGTGGTAGCAGTAGCAGCCAGCCTCAGTAGAAAAACAACAGAAATGTGACATTTCAGTGAAACAAGAGTTTGTTGATAATTCTGGGGGTGGGGGGGGGGTGGTGCGGGGCTGGTTGTATTGTTTCCCTTGGTAGCCTCTCAACAGTTGTATGATTTTCTAGAATTTTGAATTGTGCTCCTCTCTAATCAGGCATAAGAATGGTGAGGAATTCTACCTTTTTTTTAGAGTCTAATATACTCTGGAGCTCAAAGGAATGAGTACAGCCTATCACAGAGACACAAATTTGACCCCCCTCCAATAAAAATCAATAAAGTAAAATTTGAAGGCCTGAGAGAATGAAGGCTTGAGAATGACATGCCCCCTTGCATCTTCTTTCTGAAATGTTTTTGGGCATCTTGTAAGGGCGTAAAGCTTTTCTACAGCTGCTACTAGTTTTGCCAATTCATTCCTTCAAGCCACACCAATAAACATGTCCAAACTCCTCTAATCCTCAGAGAGGTGGAGAAAGATAGAGAGGAAGTTCACTTGAGCAGAAGGCTTTCTTTTTACAGATCAGAAATTCCATCGTATATATTCCTATTCCCTTAAATAACTGGCAAGGGGATCATCAGGATGAGCTATGGCAAAGAGCCACCATCATGGTCACAGTTTCAGTGTGATGGGGCCCCAGACCTGAATTGCAAAGTAGTTTAGAGAATCTTGGAATATAAAACATGATACAGAACACCAAAGAGGATTTAATCTTATTTATAGAAAGGTAGTTGGTGGTGGTGGGTGGGGGAGAGGCAACAACAGGCAAGAGTGACTTGGGATCATCATTAATCATTTTTTAAGTACCAACAAAGTGAAAACATTCTTCTGGAATTCACTGCAAGTGACACTGAATCCTTCTACTAAGTAAATATGTGATGAGTTGATAAAAAAAGAAAAAAGAAAAGAAGGTCCTGAACTCTTGACTATAGATATAATACAGTGAACACAGAAAATCAAAAGCATGCTTTCTATCTGACTCAAAATAAAGGTGCACTTAAACTTGTAAAAGACAACATTTTTATTTGAATGATATGACAGAACTGTCACAGGAGTGTTACCTGCTATAAAGAAAGCCAAAGAATTATTACCTTTATTAGACCAGTGACACTGAGCTTTAGCCATACATTTCTAACTTCTGTCCCTCTACAGAGACAATTTTCTTTTCTTAAATAAACTGTCATGCTAGTGTTAATATATTGTTGGCTCTCTCATGCTCTGAGAATACTGCTGATATAAAACATGTATATGTTAGATTGGTAATAGTATCTTTAGTGGAGCTGACTAGAACAAATGTGTTTCCCTCATGGCTGCGCTAATGTGATAAAGGAAAATTGGCTGTTCATCAGCTTTTGGCTGGGTAAAGACAGTAGAGATGGAACCACATTCTTTTTTATGCATTAATACCTTCGAGAACTTTCCATGAGTTATATTTCATGTGCCTGCATGTTGCGCAGAGATGTTGTAAAACATGAGATAATGCTACAAATAACAAAGTAGAAAAGCCTGTATCTTTTATAATGATAACAGTCAAACACCACATGACAGTAACAGGCTGTAAAAAATGGCATGTAAAAAAAACACAGCAGAAGGGTGTATATCCAGGTCCATGAGAAGCTAGTGTGTGATTTTTGGGCTTTATGTTAAAGCTTTGTTTTATAATTGAGTCAAATGGAACGCAGGGTCGATGCATTTAGGAAAAAATATGGTTTTAACTGAGAGCAAGTTGGATAGAGAGGAAAAAAACCAAACTGAATAATTTTTGAAGAACTGATATGTTGATATTGCCAAGAAATTTTTATAATTGCCAAGTGTGTATGTGTGTGTGTAATTTTTTTTTTTTTTTTAAGATGGGGACTTTGAAAAGAGTTCCTAAGGCAATTACTCACATGATTTAAAAATATTGAAGGGTGGTTGTTTATTTTCATTAATTTTTGCAAGGCTGTTTGAATGTAATTTCCTTTTGAATGCTACAGTTGATACTTTTATTTAAGATGTTAGCATCTAACCTTCAACTATATGATATTACATTTCTCTCAATGAATCAATCTGAGTAACTTTTTATTATATCATCCAGGGGTAGTAAAATTATAGCTCATGGTACAAACCTGGCTGGCCATCTAGTTTTATAAAAGTTTTGCTGGAACACATTTGTGCCCATTCATATATGTATTGTTTGTGGCTGCTTTCCTATTAGAGAAGAGTTGAACAGTTGTGACCTGAACCATTTATACCACAAAATCAAATCATTTGGCATACAAATAAAAAATATTTATCTGTTTACAGAAGAAGTTTGTTGACCTCTGGTGTAGAAGGTTGTTAGGGTACCTGATTAATTAGCCTAGACTGTGATCAGCAGATTTTTGTTATTCTGTATGGAGAAGTGCAGGTGAAAATTACCAACTGGATACCAAGACCTAAGAAAATAAATGTTTATAAGGAATCTTTGTGTTAGCAACCTAAATTGAATTATATTCACATGTAATACATTTCTAGTGTATCTGGCTTTGAATATTTTTGCCTTTTGCATTCATTTCTGTTTATTTTCAAATATGACTGTAACAAATTTAACTAGTAGCTAAAGAAGCAGTGTCTCCAGAACACCTTTATGAAGGCATGGAAGACAGAACTGTGAAATATATGGGACAAACAGTTATGCATACCTGTGAATACCCTGGTATATATGATCCAGCACAGAATTATTATCTATAGGTTTATGTCTAGATATACAAACACAAGATATATCATTGGACCATTAAAATAAATTCCCAGTCTTTCCAACTGAAGGAAGTGGAAAGTGGGAAATTAACTTGAGAAAGCCTGCTAAAGGCAGTTATTATAAAATAAAAGGTTATGCAATTAAAATAATGTGATAATTTCTTACAGGTGCATCAGACAAAAATCAGTTTCTTCATCAATGGTTTGGAAAAGGATAATGCAGCTTTTGATGCAAGAACTCTAAGTGGTTCAATTACAGATTTTGCCTCTGGTACTCTGCAAATAGGACAGAGCTTAAATGGTAAGTTAAGATTTCAGAAAATTATTTGTTTTATTTAATTACATAATTCCTTGAAAAATGTGTCAAAAATATTTTAAAATACCCAGGTGTATTTGTTTCCTAGGGCTACTGTAATACATTAGCACCAATTGGGTGACAGTTTAATAAAGCAGATTTCATCCCCCCATGATTCTGGAGGGTAGAAGTCTGAAATCAAGGGCTCAGTGTTGGCTTCTTCTGGAAGTTCTAAGGTGGAGTTCATTCCATGCCTCTCTTTCTGGTGGCTTCTAGCAATACTTAGTGTTCCTTGGCTTGTAGCTATCAATACATAACTTCAGTCTTTGCCTCCATCTTCACCTGGCCTTCTCCCCTTCTCGTCTCTTTTAAAGACACTTGTGATCAGATTTAGGTCCCAGCCTAATCCAGTATTTTCTCGTCTTGACATCCTTAATTACATCTGCAAAGACTTTTTCCAAATAAAGTCACAATTGCAGGTAGTCTTATTTGTTGAAGGCCATTATTTAACCCACTATATCAGAGAATCTTTAAAATGTCTTTATCATTATTTTTTCAAAGTAAGAACAATATGTAATAAACTATATTTTTAAAATTTATTTTATCGAAGTAAAGTTGAGTTACAGTGTTGTATTAATTTCTGTTCTACAGCAGAGTGACTCGGTTACATATATTTATATATATATTCATTCTTTTTCATATTTTTTCCATTATGGTTATCATAGGATATTGAATATATTTCCCTTTGCTATACAGTAGAATCTTGTCCTTTATCCATTCTGTATACACCACTTTGCAGCTGCTAACCCTGGATTCCCCTGCTCCCCTCCCCCTTGGCAACTAGCCATCTGTTCTCTGTGTTTCTGATTTTGTTTCTGTTTCATAGATAGGTTCATTTGTGTTATATTTTAGATTCCACGTATAAGTGATATTTTATGGCATTTGTCTTTCTCTGACTTCAGATAATCTAGCTGCATCGATGTTGCTGCAAGTGACATTATTTCATCCTTTTGTACGGTGGAGTAGTATTCCCTTGTATACATGTACCACATCTTCTTTAACCATTCATCTGCTGATGGACATTTAGTTTGTTTCTGTGTGTTGGCTGTTGTGAATAATACTGCTATGAACATAGGGGTGCATATATCTTTCTGAATTGTATTTTGTCTGGATATATGACCAGGAGTGGGATTGCTCAATCATATGGTAATTCTGGTTTTGATTTTCTGCTGCTGCTGCTAAGTTGCTTAGGTTGTGTTCAACTCTGTGCGACCCCATAGACGGCAGCCCACCAGGCTCCCCCGTCCCTGGGATTCTCCAGGCAAGAACACTGGAGTGGGTTTCCATTTTTGTATACACCACTTTGCAGCTGCTAACCCTGGATTCCCCTGCTCCCCTCCCCCTTGGCAACTAGCCATCTGTTCTCTGTGTTTCTGATTTTGTTTGTGTTTCATAGATAGGTTCATTTGTGTTATATTTTAGATTCCACGTATAAGTGATATTTTATGGCATTTGTCTTTCTCTGACTTACTTCCGATAATCTAGTTGCATCGATGTTGCTGCAAGTGACATTATTTCATCCTTTTGTACGGTGGAGTAGTATTACCTTGTATACATGTACCACATCTTCTTTAACCATTCATCTGCTGATGGACATTTAGTTTGTTTCTGTGTGTTGGCTGTTGTGAATAATGCTGCTATGAACATAGGGGTGCATATATCTTTCTGAATTGTATTTTGTCTGGATATATGACCAGGAGTGGGATTGCTCAGTCATATGGTAATTCTGGTTTTGATTTTCTGCTGCTGCTGCTAAGTTGCTTAGGTTGTGTTCAACTCTGTGTGACCCCATAGACAGCAGCCCACCAGGCTCCCCGGTCCCTGGGATTCTCCAGGCAAGAACACTGGAGTGGGTTTCCATTTCCTTTTCCAATGCATGAAAGTGAAAAGGGAAAGTGTTTCCACAGTGGCTGCACCGATTTCCACTCACAACAACAGTGTTGGAGGGTGCCCTTTTCTCCACACCTTCTTCAGCGTTTGCTCTTTATAGATTTTTTAAAATTGGTGGCCATTCTGACTGGCATGAGGTGGTAACTCATTGTAGTTTTGATTTTCATTTCTCTAAAAATTAGAGATTTGAACACCTTTTCATGTGCCTATTGGCCACCTGTATTTCTTCTTAAGCTATATTTTCTTCCTCCTTTTTATGGTTTGGATTTTATTGTATGACTGTTGTTAAAGTAGAACTTAGAATGTTAGATAGAAACTGGAAAATAATAGTCAACATGGAATAAACTAGATTGATAGTGTTCATATCTTTCCACCCTGAAAATAGGCCATATAGTTTTAAGAAGATAGTGTCATATCCTGAGAAGAACAGAAGCTGAATTCAGAATTCTCTTGCAGTAACTAGCACATTGGTCTACAAAATTGCCTATACTTAAAAATGGGAATATTATTTGCTTTATATTATTAAACAGTATATGATCATTATAAGAAAAACTAAACAACATTGAACTCTACAAAATAGGAAGCCTTTTCCTTTCTTTGACCTTTATAGAGAGAGATAGTTAACTTTGTTATAACCTTCCACCATTTTTGTACATATAGCTAGAGCTATGGTTATAAATATATTAATTTTCCGAAAATGAAATTATCATACATATGCTTTCTCTGAGCCTTATAAAAATAAGTACTTCCCCTCCAAATGTTATGAGAAACATGCCTTCTCATTTAAAATGACTGCATTGTGCACAGTTGTATAGCTGTAACCAAAACTTTTTAAACACAAGCCTATTAATGAACATTTAGATTAATTCTACTATTTCAAAATTATTAGCAGTTATCTGATTGAAAACACTAAATATATATATATTTGTTTCTATATCTATTATGCATACACATATATATGCATTTAGCAATTGTCTGTGAAGTTCCTTAAGACCTTTTACTTCGGTGTCAATTTTCAAGTCCCATCTCTCTGCTTACTAGCCATGTGACCTGAAATAACTTTTTATGTCTCTAAACTATAGTTATCTTGAATTTAAAATCATGATGGTGATGATATTACAGTTTCATGGTAAGGATCAAATGAGGCTCTGTCAATAGAAAACACTACTGTTTTTCCAGCATCTGGTACTGAGTAGTTGTTCCATATTTGTTGAATGAATGAATGAATAACTGTGCCTTGTGTATACTAAACTATATTAGTATGCAGTGCTATTGTTAATTATAATTATTTTGCTAACCTAAATCGATAGAAGTTAGATAGGTTGAAATGGTCATTTTATATTTTAATACATATGGGAATGATGACCTTAAAGCATAACAACAGGTTACCTCATTACCTCATAAGGTTGTGAAAATTTACAACCTTATTTAAAAATATAAGTATTTGTCTTAAACACTAACTAACCTGACAAATAATTCTTTTTTTTTTTTTTCACTTTTGCCATTCCTCGCACCGAAAAATATTTTTGGATCCTGCCTTAGAATTATTTCGCCATTAGTGAGATTAAGTAGCTTTCTACATATGCCTGGATAATTTGCATGTCATTTGTGAATTCCTTATTGATATTGTATATTCATATTTATACTCTGGAAAATACTATTTGTAAAGGCTCATTAATGTTAATAATATTATGTTACACATCTTTTTTCTAGCTTTTAGATAGTCATAACTTTGCATTATAGAAATTAAAAAATATTCTCTTATATTTTAGTAAAGGCAAAAACATTCATGCAACATAATACATAAATATTAAGGGATACATCTTTATGAATTTTTAATCTATATATATACTTGCATAATTCTCATCCAGAAAAAGTTATCAAACATTTCCTGGATTTCAAACACTCCTGGTGAATACCAACTCTAAAGAGAAACAAAGAATAGTGTCAGAAGAGACCTCTATCAGCATAAATTAGTGTTGGCTGTTCTTGAATGTTCTAGCACTTTAAATCATGCAAGTGAGTACTCTTGTGTATGATTTCTTTTCTAAGCACTATACCAATAAGATGTATCTCTATAGTGTGCTGCTATTTCTTTAAGCTTTAGGAAATTTTTCAAAGTGGGTATTTTAACCAATGATGTTTGAGAATGTTGGTGTTCCATGTCCTTACCAACACTTAGTATTCTCATACATTATTGTTGTTTGCCATTCTGATGGCTTTATGGTGCATTTCCTGAGATTGATGGTATTGAGAACATTTTCATGTACTTCTTGGCCATGGCTATGCTCTTTTGTGAACTACCTATGTAAGTTTCTGCTAATTCTTAATTGGATGGTTTGTCTTTTTTTTTATAACTTATAGGAATTCAATATTTTGAATTTGAGTTCTTTGAGAGATAAATGGACTTCAAATATAGCCTTCTGAGTTACCTCTTATACTATCACTTTCCTTTGATCAACAGAAATTCTTAATTTCAGTGAGGTCCAATTTATGTTTATTTTAAACTTAATACTTTTTATGTAATGTTTAGAATATCTTTGCAAACCCTGAAAGTATAAAGTGTAGGAGAACACCAAAAATATCTAAAGATGTTCTCCTGTACTTTATTTTAAAAGTGATATTATTTTGCTTCTCAAATTTAGATTGATATTCTATCTGGGATTGATTTTTGGGTATGGTATGAAGTAGGAGTCAAGATTCTATTTTTTTCCCCACCTGAGATTTTAATTGACCCTGAAACATTTTCATCGCTTCTCCACTATGTTGCAATGGCAGCTTTGTCACAAATTACATCCCTGTTACATGAAGACAGTGAGTTCGTGAGCTCACTATTTTGTTTCAGTGATCTGTTTGCCCATACGTATAGTTAAAACATTTAATTTTCATTTTTGTAGCTTCATAAGAGTCTTACTGTCTAGGAGGATTTGATTTCTCCAAATTTTTTTTCAATCTTTCAAGATTGTCTTGGCTATTATATGAATTTTAGAAGCAGTGTTTCAATTTTCAGAAAAACTTTGTGGGACTTTAAATCCTTAACTCAATTTTGCAAGAAC